GATCCGCGGCGGCAGCGCTGGCTGGCGGGCCACTTGTGGATGGCGCCGGCTGCCGGAGCTCAAAGGCTGGCCGGGAAGGAAGAGCCCTTGCTGGGAGGAGGCAGAGCCGAGCGGCCTCGGTGCGCAGGTAAACTTCGCGCGGCGTGGCGCCCCGGACGCCTGGGTTCCGCAGCCCGCCTCGGGGCGTGGAGGGTCTCAAAGGAGTCGGGAGCAGCCGGTTCCCTCTCCCCGATCCCCCGCCAAGCCGCTCCGGCTTCATCGCAGGCTTTATTCTGGGCTTCATGGCGCCTAGGCGCGGGTGGCAGGCGCGGCTTTTCTGGGGCTCCCAGCACGGAGCGAGGAGGGATGGAGCCGCGGACCGTCGAGGAGTCGCGCTGCGTTGAAGGGACCCTGGCAGGTTTTCCGCCCCGCTCAGGGGCTGGAGAGGAGGAAGGCTTGATGAGCGGGGGCGGCCCCCCTTCAGCGCCTGGGAGGTGGGGGAGGTGAGATCCTGGGGCTCGAACGCCTGGGTTCCCTTCTTGGAGAGCGGCGTGCGAGGGAGCGGAAAGCAAGGCGCCCGGGAGATCCCAGAGTAGCGCTCTTTCCAGTTTCTGGCGAGGAGGAGGACGCACCGCCGAGCGCTTTGAGCTTGGGGACCAGAGAGAGGCGCGAAGAGTGTGCCCGGCTCAGCCAGCATCCTTAGGCACGGGAAGGTGGTCTCCCAGCATCCCCAGCATGTTAGAAGAGCCCTGCCGAATCAGGCCATTCTCGCATTCTGCACACACAGATGCAGGGGATCAGCACTCTCCTGCCCAAGGGCACACTGCCTTTGATCCTGTGGTCATGAGGACTAGTACCCATGGATAGCCTCATTCTCCAGAGCTGAGTCCAGTTCCCTTCTGAAGCCCTCCAGATGGGTGGCCAGTGCAGCCCCTTGTGGAAGTATTTCTAGTTTCACTGTGTGATGAGACCCCTGCTTCTCTCTGCTCCTCAGGTCATTCCATGGTTCTCATGGGGGAAACCCGGGTGGCCTGTATGGATTGCGATCACCAGGATGCCTGGGTCCCCCTACCCTTTCCAGTGGGGATCGCAGGACTCCTGCGTCTCTTCTCAGCTCTTGGCACCTGGTGGCAGTGCGGGGAGGGGCACAAAATGGGGAAGACTCCGGGACTCCTTCCTTAGGTTTGCAGCGGGGCTGGGAAAATGATGCCGGATGCCTGGGTTCCCGAAACGTGTGAGCCAGTGAGGCATGTGCCATGATTTAGAGGAATCAATGTTGATGTGGCCAAACTCATTCCCAGGATACTGGAAGCAGACTTGAGTTATTTCTTTGAGCGCTTTTCCAAACACAAGCTAAGACGTGGCCACATGCTTTTTTTTCTGCACAGCCGGGAAGCTTTTTAAATGTGATTTTCCAAAGTAGAAATGGAATAGGTGGGAGTCACCAGGCAGCCATGGTTGGCTGGAATGATGGCCATAGACCGGACACCCACCAGGTGCTCGGAGAAAAGCGCAGAGGATTTTGGTGTGGCTTGCTTTTTAAGGGTGCAAGAGCTTATCCATCATCCCGTCCGCACCGTGGTGAACCAGCTGCCCGCAGGAAACGCACAAACAGTGGGTTTGTGGAAACGCAGGCCTGGTTTCCTATGGGATCTGCCAAAGGGGAGGTGCAGGTTGGACTTTCCCAGCTGGAGACTAGATGGAGCCTACAGGAGGGCTCCTTCCTTGGGGAGCCCTTGGGCAGTTTTTCCTCCAAGTAAAGAAACAGAGCCGAACTCTCTCCTTTGGTGAGGGATGGACCACAGGATCTTTCCACAGAAGGACTGGTCCTCTTCCTTCCGGGCTTCCTTCCATTCTGCATACTGTTTCATGTAACAAGATCTCTAACTGGTTAATTTCTTCTAAGGCTGCTTTTGCAAGTTGTTTTGATTCGTATTCCATTGCCAATCAGCCTGCGGAAGTTGTCCAAACACATGAGATCAGCCATCCATGCTCTGTATGCCTTTGCTCATTAGTGGCTCAGCCTGGGTGAGGCAATCGACATGGTCCATTCCTGGTTGGTTTGGTTTCTTTTTCAGTCACTCCTTCCTTTCCTTCGAACAACAGAGCACAACATAATAAAAAAAACTTGGCAGTTCGGCTATTGCACGCCAACAGGACTGCAGCCAAAACACAGAACTGCTGAGAAACCAAAGGGAGGTGTCCACCAGCTTGGAGGGAACCGAGCCAGAAATGGCGTGATCTGCGAGAGGGCATGGCTGGCTGGCTGGCATTTCAAACATGTGGTTGCCACTTCTTGCTTAGATAGTCCAGGGGTGATCTGCATCTGGCTGTCCAGAAGCCGTTGGCCTTTGATTCCCATCATCCCCAGGGACGAGGTATGATGGGAGCTGTGGCCCAACATCCTCTGCATAGGCCATCCCTAGATACAGGCTTTTTGTTAAATGACGGGAGTTGTCTCCAGTTTGGAAGCCACCGGTTTGTGGAAGGCGAGCTCGCAGGGAGATACGTAAATCTTGGACTGTGTCGGGAAGGGATTATGTTTATTATATAATCTTATAATGCTGTGACAAAAGTATGGTGGCTTGAGCGTTGGGCTGGGACTCCAGGGATCCAGGTTCAAGTCCCCGCTCAGCCCTGAAGCCTGCTGGGTGACTTTGGGCCAGCCACTCGCTCCGACTGACCTCCCACATAGGACTCCCTGTGGCAGCAAAAGGACAGCAAAACTGGACCGTGGAGGTACGGCTCCGTCCTCCCTCGTGGCTCCCTGGTTTCCCCCTGCATTCCCTGCCTGGGCCATGTGGCACAGAGCCAGGCACCATGGCCAGCTGGATCTTTTCGCTTTCGGCTCCCCTTCTCCCTAGCCAGCATCAACACTGTTGAAGGATGATCCAAGTTATAGGCCAAGGACCGCAAGCTGCCCACTCCATTTGTTGAAACGCCCTCTTTCCCAGTCTCCTGTAGGTGCCTTTGGTTTTATTTTCCAATGTAATTCCTACATTTATATGTAAGGAACCCAAGGCTGCTTACAAGGTTCTCATCCTTGCCATTTTATCCTCACAACAACCCTACGAGGTAGGTTAGGCTGAGGCCCAGGGAGCTTTGGGTCCAAGCAAAGACTCAAACCCAGACCTCCCATCTCAGTCTGGAACTCAAACGGCCGCACTGCAAATACCAAACCCTAAACTGGTCCAGCAGCCTCTGCAGATGTATAATTTCTGATCTGGAGACAAAACCCTGTAGAAATGAAATGGGGGAGACATAACTTCTAGACACACATTTAAAGGGGTAGATGCTTTGGCTCGTGTTTTAAGCATTTGGTTGAAGAACATAAAAGGCTTGAAAGAAGCCAAAAAGGTCTCAGTTTGTCCCCAAAAGTTTAATGGCTTGCTCTGCAGACTATGCCTCTCTTATGGGTTCAGCTGAACGGATGCTATTTTTCCGGGGTTTTCCCCTCAGTTTCACCTGAGCTGACTTGTTCGCCTTCGATTCAAAGCCAGCCCTTAAAAAAGATTAAATCGAATCACGGCCTTCCCGAGAGACCATCCATCAACGAGTTTTGCACTCATTGTATTGGAAAGCATAAAGCAGGCAAACCGACCGCACGAGTTGGATCGGCGTGGAGTTAGTTTCCGGCTCAGGCATGTGTTTTTAATTTGGCCAAGTTGCGAAAACTGGAAGCGACAAGACGAAGGGCAGGGAGGGAAAGAAAGTGAAAATCTTCCGGAGGGCAAACGGGACGTCAGAGGGAATTTTGCTTCCCCGCCTGGTTCTAAAAATCCTTGGGGGAGAACTGGAAGGGGGTGGCTTGAGACGAAGTTTCTGCATGTGGAGGAGGTGAGAAGATAGGGCTGGAGGGGAAGCAGCTCGCAAGCCACCCAACGACCCGTGCGATCGCTGCCTATTCGGCAGGCCTGCGCTCCCGGGGCATCGAGCTCCAGAAGCAAGAGAGAAACGAGGGCAAAGTGAAGGGGAGCAAAGCCATTGAAGGAGAAGCAATGGAAGAAAGGTGGGTGGGGGCTTGAAAAGCAGAAGTTGAAGCTGGCTTGCCCGTGAGAGTTTGATAGATAGAGAAGCAACGCCTGCCTGATCTCCAGGTCTTGGGGATTAGAGGAGCCTACCCCAATCTGGTGTTGGCAAGCATGCTGGAGTGCGGCATCCATGTTCCCCAGCCAGCATGGGCCTTGCAGTCTTCCGGACTCGAAGATTTCTTAGGGCTGTGCCGTTAGATCAGCAAATTAGATGGGTGAGGGAAAAGCCTTGTTCAGAAGCAGTTCTGGGCATGGTAGCCGTGCTGGTGGGGAGTTGCAGGGCTGCTCCTCTCTCTCCAAGACACCGGATGACAATGAAAAGTCTGTGCTTTCCGGGATGCCGCATTCAGTTCTGGGTGATCCACGTGCTTTATGAAGATGTGGATAAGCTGGGATGTTATCTTGACCCTTTGGTCTGTGTCGTGGCTGCGCTTGCAGACGGTTCAGGCTTTGGAGACGGTTCTCTCCGGCACAACATTGGGGAACAACAAAGACAGGAATATGGGTGGGTTGCAGGGAGAAGTCCTAGGAGGAAAGTTTGAAGGGATGGAGAGGAGAGAAGATTGAGATGGGGTGGGAGGCATCTTGGGACTTCTCCCACCCATGAGGGAAAAACCTTGTTCACAGCTGCTGTTGCAGAGGACAGCAGCAGATCTAACAAGCTGAAGTTGCAGGAGGGCAGGTTTCAATGCTGGTAAGAGCAGTTGGGTGTTAAAGTTAGCTTCCGGCCTTGGGGTCCAATACAGCTCTCTGGGATTGCGGAGAGGGACGTGATCTTTCGCTGGCCCTACTCCGTTTCCCTCTGGCCACTGATGGCTGGGTATTTCCCTGGCTGTTGTGCAGTTTTTCCCCTTTCAAAAGGGTCGAGATGCTTCTCCTTAAATCCCAACTGGAGGAAAGCCTCTCCAAATGGAATTCCAGCCTTGGACTTACAGGGGTCCCCGCCTTTGACCTGATGAAGCACCCGTACTCCTCTTAGGTCCACCTGAATTTTCCCAAATTCTGTTTCTCATGTGCGGATCTTTGTCCCAACAGGCTGTGGTCTGTGCTGAGACAGAGTCTGGTGGAAGGTTCAGCCCGTGGAGACGGCGTTCTCACCGGCGCGCTGGATGCTCGCGTTATCCAAAGGGCTCGGCGGGGATGAGAACCACGTCTGGCCCACGAGACGCCAGCCCTGAGAGTTTCTCAATGGTTCCTCCCGGACTGACGGCTGCCTGGCACCCAAGGGCAGGCTGACGGCTTGCGGTCCCCGGCCTGTCCTCCCCCCACACACGTGGCTGGTCATCTTGGCAGCCTGGGCGAGAGGGCAGTTCTGGCGGTGCTGCGGGTGTCCGGAGGGGCAGCTGTGCTATGAGTTGGTGTCTATGGATGGTCTCCCTTGCCCTGGTCTGCAGCAGCTTCACTGAGGGTAAGCTGGTTCTTCTGCCCTTTCGTTGGGCGTGAGGGAGGCTACGTGTGACCGGGGAGGGGATGCAGTGGGGCATGAATATCTGCCAAAAATGTGGAGAGGGCTGCAGAACGTGAGAGCCGGATTCCACTGCTGGAGCGTGGCCCCCGAGAGCATCTCTGAAGCAGAAGAGGTTCCCCACCCAGCTTCTTCCAGATTCAAAGCCCAGCTGAGCCAAAAATTTTATGACTTTGGGATGCATGTTCTATCTCTTTCTCTCACTATATATATTTCCCTGAGCCTAACCTACATTGTGACATTGCTGGGAGAATACAAAGATTGGGGCGAAGCATGTAAGCCACCTTGAGTTCCTTGGAGGATTGAATGCAAGAAGGAAATCTTTGCAATCCTAAGAACTGGAAACTTGGGCTTGTGTTTTTGGTTTTTTTTTTAAGTGGAAAAAAATGTATTTCTTTCTGGTACAATAGTTCGTACTGCCATAAACAGCCCCGAATGTTTTAAAGCTTTCTGCTTACACTGGGAAGTTTCAAAAGCTGTCCAAATCAGCAAACGAGCAGGCTGACAGTCTGCTTTTGTTGGACTGTTCTCCCTCTGGCTTTCCGCCAACAATTTCGTGGAGGGTGCGCAGCTGTAACTTTCTCTCCTGCTCAGCCTACATAGCCAACCAAGTGTGTGGCTCTCCCGTTTTCGCTGGGATTTCAGAAACTTTTCACCTTCCAACCACTGATTTCCCCTGGCTCACTTAGCCGCTGCCTCTGCATTACCAGCTGGCTTCCGTGCAGCCATAATGCACGAGTTAATACAGCCAACTAGCTTTCGCTTTATATTTCCTCCCATCCCCGATGAGATTCCTCTAGCTTTTAATAGCTACGTGTTAGGCCTAGCTTCAATAGGTGAAGCCTTTCTGCCCCTCCATGCCAGGAAAGGCTTTACCGGTTGGATTTCTGCTTGCTGCGTTCTGTGGCAGAATTGAGAGATCCCCATCGGGGGAAAGCCGGCAGAACGGCTCTGGGAGAGTGATTTTTGTGAGTAGGGCCCATCGGGAGAGTGGGAAACACTTGGCAGGAAGAGAGGTGAACAAGGCAAGACGGGGAGATGCTAGTTCGAGAGCTGGGTGCAAGATTATTTTATGTATTTGGGTCCTAGAAATATAGTCACAAGCTCTCTGGGCAGTTTACAAACATTCACATTATCAGATTTCACTACAGAAATTTAAAAAACAAATTTGAGCAATTTAAGTCACCAAGACAAACTAATAAAACAGTCCCTCCTACATTTAGAGCTGTTAAATGCCTTGGCGTAGAGGAAGGCCTCAGATGTTAAGGTGCCATCTGGGCAGGCAAGGCAAGGCCGTTTCTACGGGTATCGCAGGCCCAAGCTGCACAGGACTTTATGCATTGAAAATAGAACCTTGAATTGAACTTGACGCATATAGCCAGTCAATGTAGGTGGCCGAAATTGCTGTTAGGTTTTGTACCTTCTGGTCCCAGTCATTAACTGGGTTACTGTACTTTGCACCAGCTGCAGCTTCCGCACCGTCTTCAAGGTCAGCCCCACACCCAGTGCCTTGCAGTAGTCTAGCTTAGAGCTAACCAGCAGCGGTTTACCAAAATAAGCTATCCCTGTCCAGATGTGCAGCTAGGAGGAGGCATCCCAAGCTGTTGAGGCACCCGAGCCTCAAGAGTCAAAGATGATCCAAGGTAGACCCCAAAGTGCAGGAGATGAAACCCCATCTAGGACTATTTCAAACACTCTCCGTCCCATCAGACAAGCCACCAACTAACAGCCTCTCCATCTTGCCTGGATTCAGCTTCAGTTTCTGAACGGGGCGCTAGCCACATAAACCAGTTTCCCACCTCACTGTAGGAAACTTCCTTCGCCTTCAACTCCCATCAGCCCCAGCCAACAGTCAGGAAAGCTGGGGATGGGGCTGAACCTGGGACCTGTTGCCAACCTGGGACCTGTTGCCACCGCATTCCTTGAACATCTCCTTCTGGGCTGTGCCCCGTGGGTCGGATGGGCGCTTTCTCTCACTCCAGGCCCCTCATCAGCTGCAAGGACCTTCTGCCAAGGTGGCTGGACCTGCTCCCTCGTGATGGGTGCACCTCATCTGAGCCGCACGTGCCACATTGGCCTCTCTCTCCAAGTGGCTTTTTTGTGACCAGAAGGCTTCATCTATCAGGACGGTTTAGCAATGACAATATCACATAAAACGAAACACAGCATTCTAATAAAGTTTCCAACCAGCCATGAAATCCCAATTAAAACAATCAAATCTTAAAACATTGGGAGAATAAAAAGGGTTTAGCTGAAAAGAATAAAGTGACGGCACCAGGTGAACCTCTCTGGGGAGCGAATTCCACAATTGGGGTGCCACTGCAGAGAAGGCCCTTCTCTGGGTAGTCACCCTCCTAATCTCCTTCAAGGAGGGCCCCCGGAGAAGGGCCTCTGTCCCAGACCTTCAGGGGCAGGCAGGCCCTTTGATGAGTTTGTGATGTGTGTGTGCACGGTATCTGGACGCGGCGCAACTCACCATCCTCCCGGGCCGTTTTATCAGCAGGTAACGGTGAGGCAGAGCCCCGCGCTGTGATCGGCCGGACAGGCGAGAGCACCATTTTGGGCTGTGACCTGCTCAAGCCAGCCGAGGCGAGCCCCCCACTGTACGTCATCGAGTGGGTGCGCTTCGGCTTCCCGCTCCCCATCTTCATCAAATTCGGCCTCTATTCTCCGCGTGTCGATCCGGAGTACGTAGGTGAGTTGGCCTCATGGCCTGCGTGCACACCTCGAGCAGAGACACCGTGTCTCTCTTGGCCCAAGGGCCACATCCTGTTGTTCCCGTGGGGTGAAGCGGGCAGTAAAAGAGGCAGAGCGAGGCTACAAAAACCACCCGTGTGTTTTAGTTTCATGGTCTTCTGGCCAGTAAAGGAGCATTTCGACCTGCAGGAGCATGCAAAAGCTGGAGACCCGTCCGTGATGGAAGGCAGGGCCAAAGAGGGTGAGGCTGTCCGGGGAGATGCGGGGGGACGCATCTGGCCCTCAGGCTTCTGCACGTCTGGACTAGGGGAACTGGGTGGCTGAGGGTGTTGAGATGTGGAAGAGAGAGCCACTGGCATTTCCAAGGATCCGGGACAGACCCGTGTGGTCCTCATATCCGACAGACAGGGATTCGCCAAATTCAAACTCTCTGATGTCAGCATGTGTTGTCTCTGGAGCAGCATCAGCCACGAGAGAGCTCCCTGCCCCAAGGTGTTTACAGTTCAAACTTCGGACAAAGGGGAAGGTAATGAAGGACAAAGGCGTGTCAATGTTTTTGAGGGCTCTGAAGAGTCTGGTGCAGTCGGACGTGTATTTACTTACTTTCAAATAAGCCTTGCATGTTTGATTAGTCATTCTTAGGATGACGGTGTTGGTGTTGGAGGAAGGGAAGCAGAGCGAATTTTCCCCATACAGGTGTGCAATGGGAGCTGTTCCTGCTTTTTCCATACCTGCCTGGAAGGTGAAAAACCTTAGCAGCCCAGCCAGTGGAAAAAGGATGACTCTGCACCACTGGACAAACAGGGCATGGGTGATTCCAGCGACACGGATGCATGGAAAGAGCAGTTTTGCAATCTGTGGCTTCCAAGAGCTTGCTGCTCTTAGCCTGGAAGTCCTGGCCCGTGCATGAAACGTGGCTCCTCCCGCTTGTGAGATCTCGGCTTGCATCCCTGGCACACGGCTCTCGGATGCTCCTCTCCGCTTGCCAAGCGGAGTGGCAGGTGGGCCTCCCCTGCTGTGGCTGGCCCAGCCTGCGCTGTCCGATTTGATCAAAGAGAGAGAGAGAGAAATCTAGCCGGCCCCGGCGCTGGGGCTCACACAGAGAGAGGCCTGCTTGCTGCACGCTGGGGGCAGGGAGGGCCGCCCTGGGGACGAGGGGCCCATGTGCATGGATGCACAGCCACTGAAGCAAAGCAGGAAGTGCCCCGAGCGCAGCCTGGTCCCCCTCCCCTTTATCGACGGGCTTCTGGGTGGCACTGGCTGGTTGGAGGTGGAAAAGATCGAGGGATGGGACAAGCAGAGTTTTCAGCCCACCTGCTGCTACCCTGCAAGGAACAAAGCCGACATCAAAGTTTGCGTGAGCGCCCGCACACAGGCGCGAGACAGCCTGACGCACAGAAAAGCCTCTCGTAATGTCTCGCTTTTTAAAACCGAACGCATCATTTGGGGAGCTTTTGGCTTGCAGAAATGAGAAACTGTGCTATCTGGAAGAATTCCCTGTCTTAGCTTTCAATACTCCGCAGCATCCGGGGCAGAACAGACGCGACGGGAGCAGATGAAATGTGTGGCTTTTAGTTTTGCGATTATTTTCATTCTCCAGCAGTTCAGCCTGGAAAATGCAACCACGAGCCGTCACCTACATAGATCAATATGGATGTGGAGCTTCCCGGGGGTCTGAACCCTCAGAATTCTTCCAGGAAGGACTGGGTAGGGTAGGGCTTTCAGAAGAGCTACATCAGGTGGTGGACTTTCCAACCCCGCCTTGTCAAATAGCTGGGTTTTAAACACGGGGCTGCGTCTGTCACCTACGTAGTGATACTTCCAGATTAGGGGGCTTTTGGTGTGTGTGTGTAAGCACCGTGGCCATTAGCCAGAGCTTCTGTGGCAGGGGGCCCTCATGGGAAAAGGAGGCAGTGCAGAACACCGAGAACATAACTACAGGTGGGCTGATGTGTTTGCAGATTTACACGGCAAACCAGGCCTATGCCTCCTGGTAGGCTCCAGCCAGCCTAGCTGGGGAATGCTCGACATGGTAAGCCTTTCTTTGCTGCCTCAGCTTGCATCGCGTTGCAGCTTCAATTGCCTCACCTCTAACGAAACCCTCATTTTCTGTGTAACTCCACAAGGAAGAGGACTGGGAGCTTGCTTTTGAATGTGTGAGGACTATTTAGGGTAGTTGCAAGAACCTGGAATATCTTTCCCCACCTCCTAGCCACACTTTTGCACAATATGTGGTGTGATGTATTTTCTCTCACTTTCTCTTCCCTCACTTTTTTTTTTTGGAAGCTTGCGATCAAGGAGAGGGCCAAGAGTTAAACCCGCCTAGTCCCTGCCACGTTTCTGATTTGGTCCTAGATCTGTGTTCAAAACAGGCCCTTAGCGCTTCAAACAAAGCTGGGCGCATTGCAACGGGGAAGCACTCACATGGCATGCAGGAGGTTCCAGGCGCAATCCCAGGGATCTCCAGTCAAAACTAAACATTCCAGTATTTGATCAAAGAGAGTAGGTAGCAGGAGGTGGGGAAAGACCCTTCTTCCCCTGGGAGACCCACCGCCAGACCAAGTTGGTGAGGCTGGGATAAGCTGGCAGATTTTTAAAATCTATATCCCACCTTGCTGCTGAAAGGTAAGCGGCACTCAAGGAAGTGAGCCATAAAATCCCAACTCAACAAATAAAAATGACACCATGAAAAAGCGGCACGGGAAAAGGGCAACAGTGCGGCAAACGGCACCCAACCTGCGAGGCGCGCGGCTGCCGGAGGCCCGAGTGTGTGCCCAAAGGGGCTGCCTTGGTGGAAGGCAGCTTTGCCCTAGTCCGGAGCCAGTGATCGGCGAGCAGCCCGCACCCTACCTCCAAAGGGCCGTGCCGTGTGGAATGCGGGTCAGGGGCCCAGGGAGGCGAGGCAACAGAAGCAGCCCCTTCGCCGCCGGCGTGGGGAGAGGCTGAGCGGCCGTCCTGGCTGCCACAAAGCCCCGCTTCTCTCTTGGCAGGGGGCACAGGTCAGATTGGCGCTGCCCCCAGTCCCTTTGTTTCTTCCTAATCCCGGTAATCCGGCCTGTCGCGGGGGCTGCTTGGCGGCTCTTGCCGGGTGGGGAAGGAGTGTGCGGAGCGGGAGCAGAGCTTCTCTGGGAGCAGAGGCAAGCCCCATAACCCTCCATAACCCTCCTCAGGAGGGCAGTTCTAGGAACTGCTTTGCACCATCCAGCGCAAAGAAATCCAAGGGAAGGTGGCATGAGTCCGGGGCAGGTCGTGTCTGTGCTCCCCTGACCTCCAAAGTGCTGAGATGGCCGATTTGGGGCAATCTTTTTTTCCCTTCCAGAGAGGAGGAGAGGCAGGGGAACGGCCAGGATTCCTGGAAGGCGGTGGTGTCTCACTTGCTCCCTCCCTGCCCAGGAATAACTCTCCATCCTGCGCTGCCTCCGGTCTTTGGAGCCCTGCTGGCAGGGAAGAACCAAGCCGGCTGCAAAGGCAAAGAGCAGGACCAGTGCCAAGGCTGTACCTCCCCACAGGTGAAGTTGGGGGCCCCTCAGAATGCACCCTCAAAGATCCTGAGCCCCTGGACTTGGAGGAATTCAACCACCCTTTCTGCGAGGAGGAGCAGCGGAGCCAGTTTCCCCCTTTTTGTCCTTGCACCCTGCAGCCGTCGCCAGAAAAGCGTTTATTGCTCACCTGGCAAAGGTGCTTCAAAGGGGGAGGAAGCAGCTGGCGTGAGCCCTCCATGCCCTCTGTAAGGGGGAGGCCAGAGCCGCAACCCCCTCCTCCGAGCTCAGAGCACACGTCTCCATCTTTGGTGCCCCCTTGCTTGGTGTGTGGAAGGAGGATTTTTTGGAATTTGGCTATGTTTTAGTGGTGCGTCGCGTCGCAGGGCGCCCTTTTCTGCAAAGCCGTCCAGGGGCTGGGAACCCGGCCCTCTGCTGCCCTCAGCTATAGCTTGGCTAGGCCCACTTGCAGAAAGACTTTCCCAGGCTCGATCTTGGTAAAAGGCGGATCTGGCCTGTTACTGCTGGGGTGGGTAACCCTCGGCCCTCGCCTGGCGCCCTGCGGCCCCCTGCACACATCCCGCCCGGATCTCCGGCGAGAGGCTGGCATTCCTTTCCTGCCAGCCTGCTGCATGGAGCAGAAGAGTGGGAGAGGGGGAACAGTCTTGACAGAAAGAACCAGTCCATCTGCTTGATGGATACATAGTTCCTGGCAGATTTCCCGTGGCAAAACGAACATTATGCTGAGGGCTACCCTGTCTGCCCAGCCAGAGAGGCCAGAGCCTCTCAGCGTTCCACCGTTCGCATCCTGGTGTGGCCCGCGCCCTGACGGTCGGTCATGGCAAGGTTGTTCTCTGGCAGGGATTTTCAGCCCGTGGGGATTTGGAGACGGGGCTGCAGCCGCCGCCGTGGCGTAGGAGGGGGATGTTCTCCTGTTGGGTATTTAAAGTGGGCCACGGGCAGATTCTCCCGGGAAGCCTGTCGGCCTCGACAAAAGTGGTGGCGTGGGCAGCCTCTGCTCTTTAATTAGGAGACGGAAGAGACGTCTCGGGCTGGCGGGGAGGGCGAGCATGACGGCGCCTGGGTGGGAGTGGCGTGGGGGAGATGTTCTCTAGCCAGCCCTATGGGACAAGGAGAAACCTCACAAACAAAGGCCCCACAGGTGGAAGGGAGAACCAGCAGCAACCACCTGCGAACGCAGCCAGGATTGTGCTCTGGGACCGAAGGGAGCAATGCAGCCAGAGACCCTTCTAAGTTGGGTTGGGGGCACAGAATGTCTCCGCCCCCTGCCTTCTGATTCCCACTGGAATCCCCTACTTGAAAAAGTAATGCAACGTGCATCTCTAGATTGCAACTCTCAGTGCAAGTTAGCGTTCACATTCAGGCCAAGTTCCTAGTCCTCTTGGTGGCAGGACACCATTTTTTGTTATTATTTGAATTGGAGGGCAAGACAAAGAGAAAAGGGCTGGAAATTGAGAACCCACCTAAGCAGGGGGAAACATCTGCTTTCCTCCCCACT